ACCTGGACCTTCTCCAATCCTCACCGAAGAAGGAGAAAAGCGAATTACGGAATGGGTTATTAGTCCATTGAAATGTTACATTTGGGGTTGCAAGTCAAAGCACGCAATTTTATTTTTTGGATGTCAAGAAGTAGTGTAAAGTTAAATCCATGTTTGTGGGGTCGCAACCCTTGTGCGTCGGCCGCCATCTTGTAAAAAGGGCTGCGAATGGTTTTTATACTATTACTTACTATATCGGGCAAACTATTCGTCGCACAGAAAATTTGTAAATACATTTTTTGTTGCAAATTAAATTCTCTACAAACTTTTTTCAAATTTTATTTATTTATTAGGGTTTTACAGCGATGCGAAATTTACACTATTCTCCAGTACTAGTAAGTATACGTTAATATGAATGATTAGGCATAGTAGGTGTCCTTCAAAGTTTTCTTCCAATTGTGCTACCACGTGCGTGCGTGACGTATTTAATTATGAAAAGTATTTTGAGTTTTGTGGACACTATTTTGAATTTTGTGGACAAGAGGTGTGGACATTTCAGTGTCGACCAAGCAGAATCAGATGCAGATACCCTCATCATTCGCTCCGCTCTTGCTGCATCCCAATCGTTCGACTCAGTCACTATTGTTGCCGAAGATATCGACATTCTTGTCTTGCTCAAGGAATTTGGAAGAACACATTCAAATGTATTTTTTCATATTAATGTATACTTACTAGTACTTTTAAGCTTAATAGGAATTGAGGAGGGCCCTATATGCCCGAAATGTGGCGAAGGGGAGGACACCCCTGTCCACCTTCTGGGACAGTGTGCAGCCTTTGGGAGAATAAGACATAAAGTCTTTGGTGCTGAAGAGCTGCAAGGGGTTGAGGTGAGAGACCTTCCATGGACCAAAATCCTGGCGTTCATTAGGGCATCGGATAGGTTCGAGGAGGGTCAGAGGCAGAGAGTGGTTAGGTGATGGGAGGGCAGGGTAGGCAAAAAGGGCCCACTTGTGGCCTAATTGCCAGGCTGAGGCCGCCCCTTTACTACTACTACTAGTACTGGAGAATAGTGTAAGTTTCGCATCGCTGTAAAACCCTAATAAATGAATAAAATTTGAAAAAAGTTTGTAATGGAAATTATTCCATGAAAACCCCTCTATCAAAATGCTCTGATGTAATTTTTTTGTAAAACGACCAGAAAAAAAGTTATAACGACCAAAAGACAATTTGTTCCCAAATTTTTATCTATTTTCGTTAATAACTTTGTTATTTTTGGTTCTACGACTAAAAGTTACGGAACCAAATTTGTAGAGAATTTAATTTTCAACAAAAAATGTAATTACAAATTTTCTGTGCGACGAATAGTTTGCCCGATATAGTAAGTAGTAGTATAAAAACCATTTGCTACCCTTTTTACAAGATGGCGGCCGATGCACAAGGGTTGCGACCCCACAAACATGGATTTAACTTTACACTCCCCCCCCTCTTGACATCTAAAAAATAAAATTGCGTGCTCTGACTTCTGCACGCTAAGCACAAAAAATTGTAACATTTCAATGGACTATATAGATTTAGCAAAATGTGGTTTTCCGGTACAAAAAGATATGCTTCTTGAAACTGTAGCAAAAATATCAAAACTGGTACTTGGGATTTTTAAGGAGAAATCCAGAAATTTCTGTAAGAGAAGCAGAAAGAATTAACAAAGCTAGGGCAGTCGTGAGTGAATTTACCATTCGAAAATGGTTTTTGGAATTAGAAGACTTTTAAAAAAAAAATAACAACTGATATCTTTATGGATCCATCGAGGATTTTTAATTGCGACGAATCAAGGTTTTGCCTGTGCCCAAAATCTGGAAAAGTTTTAGGACCCAGAGGTTACAAAAATTTATACAGCGTCAAACTTGGAAATGAAAAAGAAAACATTACAGTTCTTACGATGTTCAACGCTGCTGGAAAAATAGCTCCGCCATTAGTTTTATTTCCATATGTCAGACCTCCAAAGTCAGCAGTGGAAAATATGCCAATTGGTTGGGTCTTAGGCAAATCGGAAAAAGGATGGATGACATCAGATGTATTTTTTGAATACATTGTAAACGATTTTAACAAATGGGCCGTGAAGAACAATATTCCTAGGCCGTTGCTTATTTTTATAGATGGGCACAAATCACACATGACATTGGCATTAAGTAAGTGGTGCGAAGAAAACAAAGTCGTTTTATATGCTCTACCACCGAACACGACCCATATAATGCAACCTGCAGATGTTAGCGTCTTCAGACCTATGAAATCCGATTGGAAAAAAACTGTACGCAACTGGCAAAATAGATCAGAAAATATTAACTCTTCTGTGACTAAAGTAAATTTCTGTGGGATATTTAATGAGGCGTTATCCAATACAGAAGCCTTTGAAGAAAACATTAAAAATGGTTTCAGAAAATCTGGTTTGATTCCATTAGATCCAAATGCTTTAGACTACACAAAATGTGTAAAGGATATTGCAGAAAATCTTAAAATTTCGACAACGAAAGCGAGGCGATCAAGTGAAGGCGTTATTTCTCAAAGAGACATAAGATCAGCAAAAAAAGTTATTCTAGCAATCCAGGAAAACTTCAATTCATATGGTGTAAATACAGACGTGATTTTAAATGAAATTAATTGCCTACAGGAGGCCATTGAAAAATCATCACCATCTAAAACGAGGCAGTGTTAATAAAAATATGATTATTCAAAAAACTTCATTAGAGTTGCCAGCTAAACCTTCGAATACAGAAACCTCCATTGATTATGAAAACAGCTCCAAATCAATTGTTCCTAATGAATTAAAATTACAATCTTCCGAACCGATTGCTCCTGATTTAACAACAAACGGCGTCGGAGATATTTCAATGGATGTATTACCAGATGTAAGTTTAGGTTCTACTTTTACCTCAACATTTATTAACGATATTCAAAATATTGATCCTGATATTGATTATCTTTGAATTTTCCGACCTTGACCAAAACTGTTCAAATGATGTTATCATGGTTCGTGATTGCATCACTAATAGCAAAACCGACATTCCCGATTGAGATCTAAATATTAAAGTTAACTCCAATAATGATACCGACAATGAGTTACAAGTCATTACTATTATTTATGGTAATATCTCTAAGAATGATAAGTTTGAAAAAGACTATAATAATCCAAGCGTCATTGCTAAAACTATCACTGAAATAAATTCTAAATCTGAAGACAATGATTCAAATGAGATAAGTAATATAGTCCAATTACTGACAATAGTTCTAAGTTTGAGAAAGATTATACACTCTGATGTTAAAATTAATTCTATAATATATGAAGATAATGACTGCAAAAGTGCCAAAAGTTATATTATCCCTAATCAAGATAATTACCTGAATCCTAAAGCCAGTTGTAGCAATCAGGATTTCCCTGATCCAATAAAACGGACCCGCAACACAAACAGACACAAAAATGCCGTAAAAACTCCCAGTGCTATTTCATTGAGTGAATGGAGAAAATATTATCAAGGAGAACGAAAAATCGAAAAAGAAACTTGATATGATGAAAAAAGAGAAGAAAGAGAGAAACTAAAGCAAAATAAACAGAAAAAAGCTCTAAAAACCAAACAGAAAAGACTTAAGAAAAAAACCGAATACTAAAACAGACACGATACCATGTGCAAATTGCAATGAAGAGCTGAACAGTGACACAGATGATGACGACAAAAAAAATATAGGATGTGATTTCTGTGATAAATGGTATCACAAAAAATGTACAAATTTGATATATACCCCATATCATATTGCTGCAATTCAAGACTATAAATGTGACAAATATTAAGAAGTTCCTATTGTTCTAGATATTTTCCACGCAGGTGTAATCGAAATACTTACTGTTGTGTACCTGCTATCATTATTTTTTTTGTTGCAATCTTAGGCTAAGTAGGTTTATGTATCTATTTTTTGTGATCTTCGTACTTTTAAACAGTATGGGTAGTTATTTCTTTTAGAATAGTTAGTTAAATCAACCAAAGTTATCCATTTAGTACAAATTAGTTTTTGAGTTAGTATATAATTTAATATTTACCAAATTTTTTGTGATAAAGACCTCTAAGGAAAAAATTACCTCCTGCAGATACCTATGTTTTTTGTATGTAAGATTTTATAATTGTATAAAAATTCAAGTACAAACTACCTACCTAGTTTGTTATGTTATAATAAATTGAGATATCTACCTAGGTACCTTTTTTCTAATAAAATTCATAAAAGCTTTTGTTCTTAGTTAGGTAGGACCTATGTTAAAGAATAGGCACAAAATTTCTATTTTATGAAGTAAGTTTAATGTTTAAAGTTATAAAACTATGTTTATATAAAAGTTTATCTATGTAGGTATTTTTAAAATAAATTTTCTTCCGAATTACACCTATACCTATTTTATAATACCTATAAATCTGTTAGGCGCATTAAAAACTGCATATAAAATGGTTGGTCGAGAACTGGCACAAAAACGGTCGAGAATTATATGGGGTGGTCGAGATCTAGCAAAATCGCACTTTTTTGTTTAACAAAAAATAATGTATATTTAAAATATCCTAAGGCAAAAAATCTTGCAAAAAAAACAGTCTTAGTTTAAGAAAATAAAAAATTAAAAGTGATTATGGTTGGGTCAGTACTTTGTTATAATAATGTAGTTTATTTTTTTGTTAACTGGTCGAGAACTAGCGCATTGACCCTATGGCATGAATTTAATAATTAACGAAACGAAAACAGATGTTATTTAGATTTTAAAGATTAGTTGTGCTTAGGATACCAAAGACATCTTTTGTGAAAACTCTAGTTATGCAATGTAAAATATGTATAAAAAAAAGCATGCAACGAAAAATCCTGCTTTATATCTAACTTAAGTAAATTATAATAATTAAAAATGATTGGTTAGCAAAACTACTATTCAATTGTATTGTAAGTCTAAGATGACACTAGATATGCTTCTAAATTCCTTTTAATTTAGGAAAGATACCTACCAGTGGACATAACTCCATCCTGTCTTAACTTGTTAGCCAAAATTTGAGCCTGACTGTGTGACTTCACAAGTTCATGTTTTTTAGGATGTTTCAGACGAGATGACAAGCCCGAAGACATTTTATTTCTTTGTAGATATATCCTAGAAATAAGACATACTTGTGGCAGTGAAGAAAAAAATTGGACAAAGGATAATGACTCATCCAATGAAATTTTAACCATAATCGCGAATGGCTGGTTTACAATTCAATAATTATATTATTACAATTTTGCATCATATAGTAAATAATATACATACTTTATTTAAGAAAAGTTGCTAAATAAGAGCAACAGTTGACTTAAGTTCGTTTATTCGTTTGATCGTCGTTTACGTTCGTCGACAGCTTAACTCAGCTGTGACTGATGAATAGTACATCACTCACTGCTACCAATCCAATATGCAAATTGTCGAAAATAAATACCTGAAAAATACATTGGACATTTTTTCAAATTTGAATAAATTTAAAAAGTTAAAAACAATAAAATATCGTTGTCTTCAATCGTTTAAAAAAGTAGAAAATCGTTTTTAACATAAATGGTTACTGTAGAAAGGAATTTTTAGTGTTCGAACAGTGTTGCCAGGTTGAAAATACGGAAAGCGGTAGGCATGACATAAAAAAAGCGGTAGATTTAAAAATAAAACGGTAGATATGCCGTTACTCCCTTTGGGCTAAAAATACACTAAAAATGTTTAGTTATAAGTTCAACGGTACAGAATTATATAAATAAAAAACAAATTAAAACCCTATACAGATTTAACAAAATATTATATTAGTTATATCTGACCACACAGTGAAGTATAATAAACTAAATAACTGAACAGTATACTCATTCTGAGTCGGAAAACCGCTTTTTTGTATATATTGTTGTTATGATATGATAACAATTGTTGGTCATAAATTTGAATCATCAGAACTAAAATTACACATGCAACATTTATATCGAAAATATTTAAAGGTATTTTCTACTCACCTCATTTCTTGTTGTTTTATAAATGCACTTAAATTGTTTACTCATTACTCAATACCAATAGCGATAAATAATTTTTAAATGTAAACTAACGACCATAAAGCACATTAAATAATCAGAGAATTATAAAATTTGCAAGCAGGCAAGGCAAAAGGCAACAATTATCACTTTGTCGTTCTTTCGTTCAGTTCAGAGCGAACAGCCGAGCTGAGCAGACGTGTTTGTTTGTGAGGTGAAGTGA